CAGAGCAATCTTTGACACGCCGTCAAGGTTGCTGCAAAGCTGTCACAGACAAACCTGTTCCTTCAGAACAAAGCAACTTGCTCCTTCAGCTACTCAGAAACTGCTGCTCTAAGACACAACCAATTTCATCTAGGACTGACTTGGTCACATTGAGGGTTTTTTTTCTACGAACCACGTGCATTGGGGTCATCGGCCCCTTGACATCTTGGGCAAGACACTTCACCCAACTTGTCTGTGTTAGTGGTGGTCAGAGGGGCCGACGGCGCCAAATGGCAGCCTCGCCTCTGTCAGACCTCCCCAGGGCGGCTGTGGCTACAAGTAGCTTACCATCACTAGCAGTGTGTGAATGTGAGAGTGTGTGAAAGCGTCTTTGGGTGTCTTGAAAAGCGCTATATAAGTTAAATGCATTATTATTATTATTGTTATTATTATTAATATATAGGTCAAAACTGACTCTTTCTGGATGTTACAGTAGTAACAAAATGATAAAATCATCAATAATAACAGAAATAATTAGCCTCAGGTTCAAACTGGTTTCTTTATTCCCATTTTAAAATAGTCAAAATAGCAACAGCTATTCATCATGGAGCTGTGCATGGTCCAGCTAAAGCACCACCACTTCTTGGACAGGATGTTGACTCTGTAGATTCCGACATACTGGTCTTACAGGTCCACTTCTCCCATGTGTGTGTTTGTAGTCCTGGATACACTTGAGCTGTCTGACCTTGTCCATGGTCCTCTTCTGTTTGTTCCACCTCTTCACCTCAGCATCACGTCCAAGATCTCTGCTAAGGTGCACCTAAGGAAAGGACAGCATACATGATTGATTTATATTTTGACTTATGTTATTGTGTGAATAATGCTTACATACAGAGGGGAATGTTTTTTTTTTCTGTGTGTGTGTGTGTGTGTGTGTGTGTGTGTGTGTGTGTGTGTGTGTGTGTGTGTGTGTGTGGGTGTGGGTACTGGTTATGGTAAGTACTTGTGTGTCAGAAAAAGTGCACCTCCGACTGCACATCAACATTTTAACTATTAATTATGTCCACTCCTTGTTCCCTCCTCTCCATGATTCATCAAGCTGCCTCACTGCCATCTACGACTGACTGGAAATTGTTTGTTGTTGTTGTTGTTGTTAGCCTCAAGGGCAACATGCCGATTATAACTTGTAAGTCGCTTTGGACAAAAGCGTCTGCTAAATACATAAACATAAACTAGGTTTTTACTAGCTAGCTAAGAAGATTATGTAACATGTTCATGTACAAAAATCTTATACACACAGTCCTTGAATACCTGTGAATTTTCTAAGGAAGAGTATTCTAAGAGGACTAAAATGAGCCATTATACATCATTTTACAATTTTTAAGAAGTAAATTAAAAGCTGTTCTGCAGATGTTGTTTTCCTTTCGTCAGCGAAACCCTTTCTGCCCACTGGCTACTTTTGTTTCCACTCACAGAAATAAACTCATGAAGAAAAAAATATTCAGCCTAGGTTCAATTTTTGGTGGTAGCGTTACCCTAGAGACTTGAATAATTAAATAATTATAAGTGTGTTTTGTTGAAAAATCATAAGAAATGAATGAAAATTAGGATTATTTGCACCCACCATGTCTTCAGCCAGAAGGAGCAGGAAGCAGATGATGTCATGCAATAGGATGCACTTGGAAACATTTTTTTTATTGAAACATTTATCTAAGTCGTCTACTAGCAAATAAGTGTTGCCAGTTGGGACAAATGCTGGCTTTTGCATCACCTTCATCACCCCCCTCTCCTTATTCTGCTCTGTTTACCAGTTCTGCTTTTCCCACAATCCACTGGTTACCTTTCCTATTCGTTTTCTCTCCCTTTTCTTACATTTTATTCACAGCTTATTTTCTCATGTTAATTATGTGTTGTAATCATTTTTAATAATATTTTTGATATTGAGAGGCACAATTTAAAAGATTGTTTTCTTTCTTTCTTTCTTTCTTTCTTTCTACTAAATATTGAGTGCTGTACATGCTCATACTTGTTTATACTTGTCAGTTCATACTATAGAGTGTCATTTAAGCCTCCCACTGTCCTACCGGGTGAACAGTCCCCTCGGGTGTCCCTCTTAGCGGCGCCCCTGGCGACTTCTGCTCAGTAGTTTGCCTTTCAGACACAGAACCCGGCCGTCCATCCCACATGTGTGTCCCTCTGCTGGTAGCTTCTGATCACAACAGGTCAGAGAGAGCTGGACGGGAATGTCACTGGCTTGGTTAAATTAGCATTTTCTAACAGTCATGATTCTAAACATTAATGGCCTGTTTGTGTGTGTTTGTTTCTTATGGTTAGGCAATGTGAAGATTGTTTGCCTTGTCATCTAACTTCCTGCTCTCCGCCTATTGACCGGTTCTTCTTTGTTATTTTTGTTTGTTTGTTGCAGTTCGGTCTCTTTGTGAGCCTTCCCTAGCGTTTCTGTTTGCCACCCTCTCTGCTTTTGTTGCTGCCCTTCTGTCTGTTTATTTGCTCTCAGTCTGTCAGCTTCTTGTTTACACATTTTTCCTGTTTCTGTGTCAGTGTTTCTCCAGCTGTCAGAGTTTCTCTCTTTCTGTAAGTCCCTTTGTCGTTTTCTCTCTTTCTCTTGCATCACCATTTATGTGGCCAGTACAGTGGGATGCAAAAGTCTGGGCAGCCTTTTTGATCTTCTTGATTTTCCTGTATAAATATTTGGTTGTTACGATAACACATTTCATTTAAGCATATCATATAGGACACACACACACACGGTGACATTTGAGAAGTGAAACAAAGTTTTTAGGATTTACAAGGTATGCAATAATTGTTTAAACAAAATTAGGCAGATGCATAAATTTGAACTCAATGAACTCAATATTTAGCGGATCCTCCTTTTGCAGAAATAACAGCTTCTAAATGCTTCCTATAGCTTCTGATGAGAGTCTGGATTCTGGCTGATTGTATTTTGAAACATTCTTCAGGTTTAATGCCTTCTGAGCATGGACAGCTCTCTCTAACTCACACCACAGATGTTCAATAACATTCAGGTCTGGGGACTGAAAGGAACATTCCAGAACGTCCTACTTGTTCCTCTGCATGAACGCCTTAGCAGATGCTGAGCAGTGCTTAGGGTCGTTGTCTTGTAGAAAGATCCAGCCCCGGGGCAGCTTCAGCTTTGTCACTGATTCCTGGACATTGGTCTCCAGAATCTGCTGATACTGAGTGGAATCCATGCGTCCCTCAACTTTAACAAGATTCCCAGTCCCTGCACTGGTCACACAGCCCACAGCATGATGGAACCACCACCATGTTTTATTGTAGGTAGCAGGTGTTTTTCTTGGATTGCTGTTCTTACTCCTCCATGCGTAACGCCCCCTTTTTATGCCCAAATAACTCAGTTTAGTTTCATCAGTCCACAGCACCTTATTCCAGAATGAAACTGGCTTGTCCAAATGTGCTTTAGCGTACCTCAAGCAGCTCTGTTGGTGCTGTGGGTGGAGAAAAGGCTTCCTCTGCATCACTCTCACATACAGCATCTCCTTGTGTAAAGTGCACCGAATAGTTGAACGATGCAGAGTGACTCCATCTGCAGCAAGATGATGTTGTAGGTCTTTGGTGCTGGTCTGTGGGTGACTCTGACCGTTCTCACCATTCTTCACTTCTGTTTGTCTGAGATGTTTCTTGGTCTGCCACTTGGAGCCTTAACATGAACTGTGCCTGTGATCTTCCATTTACTCAATATGTTGCTAACTGTGGAAACAGACAGCTGAAATCTCTGAGACAGCTTTCTGGATCCTTCCCCTAAACCAGGGGTGGGGAACCCAGGTCCATCGAGGGCCACTATCCATCATATTTTAGTTTCAACTCTGCTTCAACACACCTGATTTCAATCAGCAGGTGATTAACAGGCTTCTGCAGAGCTTGATGAGCTGCTGAACAGGTGAATCAACCATGGAGTCTTAAGTGTTGGAGCAAAGACATGCAGGATACCAGCCCTTGAGGACCAGGGTTCCCCACTCCTGTCCTAAACCATGATGGTGTCAGGTCTTTGTTTTCAGCTCATGTGAGAGTTGTTCCGAGACCCCATGTTGCTTCTCTTCAGAGGATGTTCGCAGAGGAGGGAAACTTACAATCGGCCCCTTAAATACTCTTTCTATTACCTGAATTGACCTGTACATGGAGGTCAAAGGTCAAAGAGCACATCAAACCAACTTTGAGTTCCAATAATTATTTCTAAAGGCTTTGGAATCAATAAAATAATAACAACGCCCAGATGTATGCATCTGCCTAATTGTGTTTAATCCTCCCAGATTGGTAATGGGGTCAGATGGGGTCCAGGTGCTGTTTTATTTTTTTATTTATATTTCTTCTTAGGAGTGCACCACTTCACCGTTGCCAAGGGTATCAACCATGTTAACCACCCCCTGTCATGGAGGGGTCATCTGATAGGACAGTGTAAATGATTGTTGCACACTTTCTGTAAGTCCTGTAACTTTGTTTCACTTCTCAAATATTACTGTGTGTGTTTCCTATCTGATATATTTAACATGATTTTTTTGTAACAACCTACAATTTACTGAGGAAAATCAGGAAGATTAATAGGACCGCCCAAACCATTGCATCCCACTCTAAATATAATTAGGTGTATGCATTTATGTCCACGTGTGTTTGCTTTGATAGTGCGCATGAGCATGGCTGAGTGTGCTGGTGTTTGTTTTGCAGCTTCCGTGCTCGCGTGCGGGTTCTGTATGTCTGAATTATCTCTCTTTCTGTTTCAGGTCCAAATGTGTTTTTGCTGATTTGACCGTTCTCTGTGCTCTGTAACAGCAGATATTGGGAAGCACCTTCAATATCTCAAGACTAACTAATTTACATTGTGGATCATTGACTTCCCTTAACATCTAGAGTAGCAGAAGAATGCATACTTACTTTTAACATGTGTTGTCTCACATTTCTGCATTAATCCACCCATGTCATGTTTGTCACATTTAAGAATCTTCTGATAACATGTGAATGTGTCTCAGGTCCCTTCAGAAGACTGGGGAGGTGGATACAGTGGTAGTGGAGCAGTGGACAGCGGAGGGGAGATTCCCTGTCGCCGAATGCGCAGTGGCAGCTACATTAAGGCCATGGGTGATGATGACAGCGCCGAATCAGAAACTAGCCCTAAAGCTTCCCCTAAGTCTACTCTTGTTGCCCAGAGAGACGCCTTCAGACGATCCATCAGCATGGATCAAAGGTTAGAAGGTCACAAACTCACTGGTTATGTCACCGCTGAAAAAAGATCGCTCATGGTTTGAAAACCAGTCAAGGTGCAGTTGTTGAAACAGTCTAGACCAGGGGTGTCAAACATGCGGCCCGCGGGCCAGATCCGGCCTGCAAGCGGGTTAAGTCCGGCCCGCGAGATGGTTGTGTAAACTTTATTTTCATACTTTACAATGTAGAGTGAAAATAAACTTATGTTTGTGAGGAAGTTTTCTCTGTAATGAGTATAAATAAAACAAAGCTGCGCTCAAGGCTCACACAAGAACTTGAATCCCATCCTGAAGTTGGCCGCCACTCAGGATGTGACTTCTGATATTGATGTGCTGGTGAAAGCTAAAAGATGTTAAGTAAAATGAGTCAAATATACTTTAAGTGCTGCATGAAACTGATCTAGCCATGTGATCTGTAAGCTCTTTGAATCACTAAGGAATGTTTTTTTATTTGTTGATTTTTTATTTTTTTCAAAATTTCAAGTACACTTCAGGTGTTGTACTTGTACTATTCTGATACACTGTCCTCAGGCTCCAGCCTTGTTTTATATTGATTGTATTAAAACAAAGAAAACAATCTGAAGTTGTTTTTAATTTACCGGTCCGGCCCACTTGGGACTAGATTTCCCTCAATGTGGCCCCTGAGCTAAAATGAGTTTGACACCCCTGATCTAGACAAAACAACATGTGAGGATTAAGCAGGTGAAACTGATGTTATGGTGGTTTGATACAAGAATAACAAATAATTGGAAGATTAACAATCTAAAAAAAATCAGTATGGAATATTTTACATAATTAGAAGGTCTGTGGATTTGTTCTTACATATCAGGGAAATGACTTCAGAGATGAGTGCAGGAGACAGCCAATCGCCATACTCATCTCTATATGGCTAGAGTCATCACTTACACCTAACCAATAAAAAGCACAGACCCAAGCCTTCCCCTCTCAAAGCTATAAATATTTATATCAGAATCAGAGGGGTTTTATTCCCATATGTGCAAGAATCACAACATTCAGAAATTGCTGTGGTACTTGGTGCAAGAAAGGAGAAATGATAAGTAAAATTAGAATGAATAAATAAACACAATGAAATGATAATAATATTGGGGGGCAATCATTAGAGAGGCAGCTACTTTATACAAGTCAGTGTAGGCACTGGTCAGAGTGGATCAGTTCAGGTAAAACAACACAGAAAGAGAGACAACATTCTTTTATGCAGCGCCTCACAAGAGAAAATCACGAGGCGCTTCACAAAAACAAAAAAACAAAGCATAAAAAAGATTTAAAACATGATTATAAATATGTTTCAAATGAGAAAAAAATACAATTGTGATTAAAAATGTAAGAAAAGAGAGAAAGAAAATAAATAGGAAAGTGGAAAATCAGTGGATCCATGGAAAGGCGGAATAAGAGCAGAATAAGGAGAGGGTGGTGATGAAGGTCACACCAAAGCTTGAACAGGTGAGTTTTCAGCTGCTTTTAAAACGAGTCCACTAGGGCTGCAGCTATCGAATATTTTTGTAATCGAGTACTCTATCGAATCTTTTATCGATTAATCGAGTACTCTAATAAATTACCCTTTTATGTTTTTAAACCACTATGTCAAATAGCATGTTATAAAATATGAAAGACCTCTTAAAATGAGCAATTCTTCAAGTTTTATTCAAAATTTGTTTTCAAAACTTCAGCATTTCAACTTTACTTCACAGTAAACAAATGCCTGTGCAAAAAATAAGTATACGACCTGAGCCGATTTTCCCCTCGTGTGAGAATCTAAAAACTAGGAGGATAACTGTTGAAGAGGCGCTGCGAGCAGCTGCGGCCCAAACAGCACCAGAACCGCTCACGGCACATGCGCAAACATGGCTCTCCAGCTATTTCCCTTTTAACACACGTCCGTTTTCATTTCTACACTTTTTTTAACACACAATAACAAGGATTGTCGAAAGCATGTTTGTCATGGTTATGTCAAATTATACTGATCACACAACATTTATTTGCTTTCTTTCGTTTTCCTCATGAATACCTGCATCCTTGTAAGGTTTGGGCCCAGACAGAGCCTCTGCCTTGTCACTCACTCAGGATGTTATCAGCTGTTTGTCAACAGAAGAAAACACAAGAGTCCAGGATGTTACAGAGCTCTGACTTTTTATCCTTTTTTTTTTATGCAAACAATCCATGACATTGAGGCATGGATTCCCCTTAACAAGCAATCAACCAACACCAGTGCCGAATCCACCCTTTTAAAGCTAACTTAGAACCAACCATTATGACATGGGCAGGGCAAACAATCAGCTTGAAATCCTGCAATCAATAAAGTACATCTCAACAAAATATGTCAAACAATCTATTTACATATTTACCTCCTACCTTAACTCAAAAGAACAAAAACAACAACAACTGCACTTAAACAAACACAAGATAACCTCCTCTCCCCCCCTCTCTCTTGAGTCATTTAGTTGCTCCCTCATTAGAGCTGATTAAGCACACCAGGAAATGATCATGGCTGCCTATGGGCGCGCTTCCATGGCAACACTTAAACAAATGACCTCAGAAGGAAAGGAGTGATGATCACCAATAAATCAAGTTAACTTAAAGTAATTTATAGATTACCAAGCTTATTTGACCTAACACACATACACACACATACACACACACACACACACACACACACACACACACACAAACACAGAAATACAGGATTAAACAGAAACAAGAGACATAACCATTAGTGAGGAGATAAATCCCTCACAGTCCTCCTGCAGCAATCCCGAGGGACAACAAACATCAATAGCAACACAATAAAAAGTCAGACGTGTTGTGTAAAAACTGCTATTTTTAGCACATTTTTAGGTTCGACGTGTCCGCTTGCAGAAGAGACATTTACATGTGGATGTTTCCTGGTCAGGTGCTGCATAGGGTTGGGTACCGAATTCTGTACTTTTTAAGGTACCGACCGAATTCCATAGAGCTCCGGGAGTTGACGTCACTTCTCCCGGCATGCAACAGTTCAAATCGAAACGGCGCCATATTGGCATGCAGAAGCCGGCAGCTGGACTATTTGTTATTGTCCAAAAACTCAATCAAACGGGAAATATGGTTGATTCCTGTTGTGCCCCAGGATGCAGAACAGACGCGGACGACATAAGGAATGAGCCATCTACAGGATTCCCCAAGATCCGGAGTGCCGCAAACGTTGGATCAAACAATTGTAATAAAACGCGCTAGTGACCGGGCGAAAATGAAACTGTGGGATCCCGAGAGTAAAGGATTTCGCTTATGCAGCGACCACTTCATATCAGGTACTTAAACCAACGTTTCCTCAACTGTGTATGGTATTTATTTTAAATGCTTTTATTACGATTCTTAGTGGGCTTCCTAAACTTATTTTGGCGTGGCTTTTTCTGTCTTATTACTCATAGCAACAAGTAAACATCACGTAAAACGTTGCCTCGTGAGTTCTGCGTGCTGCCGTTTCCGTGTTTTATGATCACAGCAATTAACCGGCTAAGCTGTATTTAATGTTTAAGCAATGGTTGATCAATTGTCAGATCACACACCGAGACTACTTACGTGTAAATCTGTTATTTGTCCGTCCATCCATCCATTTTCATCCGCGTATCCGGAGTCGGGTTGCGGGGGCAGTAGCATGACTTCCCTCTCCCCAGCCGCCGGAGCCAGCTCCTCCGGGTAAATCCCAAGGGGTTCCCCGGTCAGGTCCGGTGTTGTGCCGGTAAGAAGCCCGCTCCGACAGCTTCTGGCGTCGGAGCGGGCAGTAGAGTCGAGAGTCCCAGACCTTCTCCCCAGCTCCTCCGGCCGGGGGGATCCCAAGGGGTTCCCCCGGCCAGGTCCGGTGTTGTGCCGGTAAGAAGTCCGCTCCGACATCTTCTGGCGTTTTTAAAAAGTATCCCAGGGGCACGGTAAGGGTCGGAGATGTTTAGTCTATTTAATTTCTGACCATATAAAACGATTTCTTCTGTTTTAAAGTGTGAAGTAAACTCCGACGAAGTAAAATCCAAGCGGATCCCGTTCATGTTCATGGTTACATCCGTGTTTGTTTACCTTTTTTGTATGCCAAAATGGCGTCCACTAACTGAGAGTCACGTGGGGTCCGGAGCTCTATAGTACCGACCGAACACCGATTCACTTCATTTGAAACGGTGCCTCGTTTCGGTACCCGTCCTTCACAACGAGAACTTGCCTAGACAGCTGCGCATGCGCAAGAGCGTTATGTCGTCGGTCGCTGAGAGCCAGTTGTAAACAGAGCAGCATGGTAGAAAGAACGCACGCTAAAGCTTGGGTCCACTTCACTAAATGTGATGGGTAACTGGGTGATGATGAAACCAGCGACAACGATCTAAGTGAGACATCCTCATCTTAATCTGCTCCGGTAGGTAAATAAAATGTAAGATAACGTTAGCTTGATTTGTTAGCTTCCGTTTCGCTAATGGTGCATTCGCTTTCTCCTCGGAACTCCGAAATTCCGACAAGAAGAACATGAACGCGCTCTAAAGTTTGGCTTCACTTTACTAAATGTGACGGGTGACTGGGTGAAGATGAAACCAGTGACAACGATTTAAGTGTGAGGCATCATCGTTTTAATCTGCTCCAGCAGCTAAATAAACTGTTTAAGCTAACGTAGCTTGATATGTTAGCTTCCATTGTCCCCATTGTTATCAGCTAATGGTGCGTTCGCTTTCTCCTCGGAAATTCTAACTTCCCAGTAGGAAAAATCAATTGAAAAATGATGGCAAAAGGAATGAAGATACACAGTAAATTTAGTTCACAGTAAAGATGTTTGCTTCAGTTTAATTATCAGCTTATAAAACTACAAGGACGATGTTAAAATACAAACAGTTGTATGTTATTTATCGTGATATTTATCAAATATGGTTATAAATTGAGAAAAATATATATTTAATAATAAAAGAAAATTAAAATATTAAACACTCAAAAGTATCGAAAATTGGTACCGTTAAGTACCGGTATCGATTCGTAGGTACCGGGAATTAGTACCGGATCGATTCAAATGTCAAAGGTACCCATCCCTAGTGCTGCAGCATGGAGGATGTGGTGTTGTGGTAGGCTAGATCCATTTTACAGTATTTACACTGGACTACGTTTTCCGCCTTATGAAGAGAAAAATGGTCCCACACCTTTGACATTTTCTGTCTTCTTCGCACTCCTCCGAGGTCCACATTGTCCGCCATGGCTTAAGAGAAAGTTAAGTTATATTCGCTACTTGCGTGTGCATTCAGTGCAGTGTGTATGTACGTCACTTATTTTGGTCCGGGTGAAACATGACCCCGGGCGATTGCAAAACCAAGAATTAATTAAACATGAATTAAACGAATCCTCGAGGCAGAGAATTTGACTTGAGGCTTTTTTGTACTCAAATTTTTCAAGGTACTCGAGGAAGCGTTTCAGCCCTAGAGTCCACTGATCTCAGCCTCAGGGGGAGAGAGGTCCAGAGTCTGGGGGCCACAGCAGCAGATGATCTGTCACCTTTGGTCTTTAGCCTGGACAGGGTCAGTTGACTTAAACAAAGCAACTGAAGTGAGCAGTTCTACTGACAGAACTGCACGCCTCAATGTCCTGGAGGTGTACAGATCCTGTTTAGAGGAGAGTTTGCAGCCAGTGACCTTCTCAGCAGAGCACACACCATACTGCAGCCTCTTCATATCCCTCATGGTGGCTACAGCGTACCACACGGGGATTGAAGAAGTGAGGATGGACTCAATGACTGTGGTGAAGAACTGCCTCATCGACTCTACTGGACTCTACTTCGGCTGCCTCAGGAAGTACATCCTCTGCTGGGCCTTTTTTTTCTGTTGGAGGTGATGGTGGTGCCCAGGAAGCAACATGAGTCCACCATCATGATTGGAGTGTCAGACAGGATTATGGGGGGGGTGGGATGGGGCTGTGTGCTTCCTAAAGTCCACAAATACCTCTGCTGTCTTCTGTGTGTTTAGCACCAGGTTGTCGTGGCTGCACCAGGACCCCAGCCGGTCCACCTCCATTCTGTAGGCAGACCCATCCCTGTCCGAGATGAGCCGGTGACGGTGGTGTCATCTGCAAACCCAATTCTGTGTAACACGTGAATCAAAACACTAGAAGAAAGCTGCACAAAGACAGATGAACATTGAAACATCTAGATCATCATTAATTACCTTATTTGAGTCTGCTGCATACCACACACTCACACACAGTTTTTAACAATCAGCTGTAAATAAAAGATTCAAGACACAGGGCCCCCGCAAACAAACTGATCTCTCTCTCTCTCTCTCTCTCTCTCTCTCTCTCTCTCTCTCTCTCTCTCTCTCTCTCTCTCTCTCTCTCTCTCTCTCTCTCTCTCTCTCTCTCTCTCTCTCTCTCTCTCTCTCTTTCTCTCACACACACACACACACACCTCAGAGGCACACAGGAACGTGATGGTTTGGGAGAAAAGCAAAACTTCAAATAAAGTCAGCTATTTACAGAATAAAACAAATCAAAAGTAGATAAATGAAAATGCCCACCTTTCTTTTCTCTCCAACTTGTGAGACCCCAAACTTATACTTTTGAAACCTTCACATACAAACAGACATGAACACAGGACTATGGTTCTTAACCCAGTTAAAGTCATTTCTACAATCTCCTTAGATGCTTTCTCTTCTTGATGCATGCCAGTGATCTGACCCTTCTGAAACAGACTAACATATTTTCCACGACCACCAGGTGTGACTTTCCACATGGTTGTTTGAGAAATGAGAAGCAACTCACTGCAGCAGTTTGGATTAAATAACTTGTTTCCAGCTGAAAGACAATCACCCATGCAGTAATTATCCATTAACCCTCTGGAGGCAGGCGTTGCAGATTAGCAACGTTAAAACCTACCTACCTGGTTACTCCACATACGTATTTCATGAGCATTTTTTAACTCAGAAGAACCCCTGAAGGACTTAGTTGTTCCTCCTTTTATCAAAACTTATTTTGAGCCTGAGATAGTTAAGAGGCTTGTACATTTTTTGCTTAGTTAAATCCAGGTGGTGACTATGTTATTTTCTGCTGGACAGTGTATATATAGTAAAAAGAATTGGTCCAAACACTGGACCCTGTGGTACTCCATATGTAACCCTAGAGTACAAAGAAGATTTCTCATGAGAAATCTGTCAGACCGATAAGAAAAATCAGCCTAGAGCTGTCAGTTCCTTTGGTCCCTACATGTTTGCGCCTTTTAAGACAATAACGTGAATAATGACTGTGTCAAAAGCAGCACAGATATCCAACAAGGCCAGAACAGAAACAGGATCCTTAACTGAGAATATCATTAGTGACTTTCACTGATGTGGTTTCAGTGATTTAATCATCAAAAGTTTAACAAATAAAGGCTTGAAATATTTAACTTTGCATGTATGGAGTCCATGCCATTTATTAGTTTCACCTTTTAAGTTGAATTACTGAATAAAATTAACATTTGCACCATATTCTGAATTTTCAACTTTGACCTGTACTAACTCTGTTTTCATATTTTTGTTGAAACTGCTCCTGGATCAGTTAGACTTTTTTGCAACAGTTTTTTGTGTTAGCCTATAAAAATAAACACTGACCTGGAAACAGGGTGAAAAATTAGCTACCCATTATTCTAATTCATTACCAACAACGAGGCAATCCTCACAGAACATTATTAGCCAGTCTTCAAAGGTGAGGATCCTCCACACTACGTTTACTCCCACAATTCTTTGCTGTTCATGCATTATTACATATAAATATATACAATAATGTGAAATATTGTGAGGTTTCCCATTTAATTCTACTTCTGACCATTGAACGGTGATAATTATTCCAACATCTGAATGACGTTGGATAAAATTCACATTGGGATCTGGATATTTTGCATTTTTGCTCCCATTTGAGAGAGTTATGTATTTTCATAACCCTGAAAGACTCAAGCTGATGCGAGCATTAAACATGACCCATAAAAGTCATGTGACTGTTATTATTAACCAGTGGTCTGTATTTTCCAACATTCTAACATAATTATAACAAACTAAATGGGTCTCACGGCCAGAGCGCAGCAGCACGTCAGAAGGTTGGTTTCTTGTTGTTGTACTCTCCACTGATGCTTATGTTTCTGTTGATTCCAGGTACTCGTGTAAGCAGTGCCCAGATTCTTACCCCAACAGCAGAACTGCCCCGAAAACCCACGCTCGCTCTCGCAGTTACACTCGCTCTTTGACCAGCTCACAGGTATTAAATTACGTCATGTCTGTGCATGAATTAGATGGAGCTTTGGGTCTCTGAAAGTGTGTTTCTAAATTATAAATGAATGCCATTCCTTTTGTTAACAGCTTATTGACATGTTATGAGAAATCAAGTTTTAGACGAGTCTAAAATAGTGGTGCAGTTGGTAGCACTGTGTCGTGCAGCAAAAAGGTTGCAGGTTAAAATCCAGGCTGCAGCGTGTGCGTGGGGTTTGCTTGTTCTCCCCATGCATACTTGAGTTTTCAACAGGTGCTCCGGGTTCCTCCCACTGAGCAAAATCAAAATTGTTAGGTCATCTGACTGCATCAAAAAGTGCATTTGTTACATATCTGGTTGGAATTTATTGCTTTGGATGAAAGTGTCTGCAAAACAAATAAATATAAACCTAATATTTGAACAGCATGAACGGCTGTGAAATGATGAAGATTGGAGTTGCACAATGGCACAGTCGGAAGCATTGCTGCCTTGCAGCAAGAAATTCCTGGATTAATTCCTAGCTGGTGGCCTTTCTGTGTGGAATGATTTCCCTGTAGGTGCTCCGGTTTCCTCGCAGAGACTAAAAACATGTATGTCAGGTTATCCGCTCACTCTACATTTTGCTCTAGGAATGTGGGTGAATGCCGCCTCAACAACAGAAGCACTGAACAGGGCCCATTCGGACTCCATGTGCCCCGCCTCCCCAGGAATGTTTTGGAAGTTCTGTCAGAGGTGGGTATTGAGGCTCCTTCTGACAGGAAACTCTTCCAGACATTCCCAGCAGACTCTCACAATATGTTTGGTCTGACCGGCATCCTCCCCCACCATCAGAGCCAACTCGCCACCAGGTAGTGGTCAGTTGACAGCTCCGCCCCTCTCTTCACCCACGTGTCCAAGACATGCAGCTGCAGATCAGATGAGATGACAACAAAGTCGATCATCGAGCTGCGGTCTAAGGTATCCTGATGCCAAGAGCACACATGGACACCTTTGTGTCTGAACATGGTGTTCATTGTGGTAAGTCCGTGACGAGCACAGAGGTCCAATTACAAAACACCGCTTGGATTCAGATCGGGGGGGGGGGGGGGGGGGGGGGGTGTCGTTCCTCCCAGCTACACCTCTTCAGGTCTCACTGCCGTTGTACGTGAGCGTTAAAGTCCCCCAGCAGAACGCGGGAGTTACTGGAAGGATCGCTCTCCAGCCCCCCCCCCCCCAAGATCTCCAAAAAGGGTGGGTAGTCTCAACTGTAGTTTGATGCATAAGCACAGACCGCAGTCAGGACCCATCCCCCCACATGTGGGCGAAGGGAGGCTACCCTTTCGTTCACCAGAGTAAACAACCAACGTACAGTCCCACCCCTGCTCAGCTCCTCTCAGTGGGAGCAACTCCAGAGTGGTAGAGTGTCCAGCCCCTCTCAAGGAAACTGGTTCCGGAGCCAGAGCCAATCATCGAGGTGAGTCTGACTATATCTAGTCGGAACCTCTCAACATCACACACCAACTCAGGCTCCTCCACCAGCAGAGAGGTGACATACCACGTACCAAGAGCCAGCTTCTGTAGCTGAGGATCAGACCGCCAAGGTCCCCGCCCTCGACTACCACCCGTCACACACTGCACCCGACTTCTTTGGTTCCTCCCATGATTGGTGAGTCCATAGGGAGACCCATGTTGTCTCTTCGGGCTGTGCCCGCACGGGCTCCATGGGTGGAAAGCCCGGCCACCAGGTGCTCTCCAACGTGCCCCACCTCCAGGCCTGGCTCCAGAGGGAGCCCCCAGTGACCCACATCCAGGCGAGGGAAAACGGTTTCCATGTATATTTTTCTTCATAAGGGGTCTTTCCTGTTTCTCTTGATTGTTGCTTATTTTGTACTTTTTTCGACACACATCTTCTCTTAATTTTCTCAAACAGAAGTGCTTGGAGCACTCAAGCCATCTGGAAAAGGTTGGCCATGAGTTTTGGTATTGATATCTCTAAAATGTTTTAAGATATACAATGTAACAATGCATTTTTAGTGGGGAAGGCCTTACTTTAAAGTCATGGTTGTCATAGTAACCAAGTGGATGGAGCCTAAGGCCTAATTTATACTTCTCCATCAGCCACATATCTGGTTCATGATAGTCTACTATTGTATTTACACCATTTTAATGTATTTCAAGGACTTTTAACACAAACAAATTTGTCCCTCATTCTCCTCTTCCTCTTTCTGTGACCGACACCTCTAAACCCACATTTCTCGTCATTTCTGTCCACAAATAAAACACTTGCTGTGTATCTTTGTACTCCTTGAGTCGTGGGCGAATAAAATTTCGTATTGTCTGACTTCTCCACGAAGCATTATTCAATCTGCCCCATGTCCCCTGCAAGGTATCTTTTTATTTTTTGTAGGGGCAATGGCCATTGACATTATATATTGACAATGGCGGTGCTGTTGACGAATTTACAGGAAGCGGCGTTTTGACCGATCCCAGGCTTGCGGTCTCCATCACTTTTGATGGATAGTTGAGAATTGGGGCATGTCTCTGTCACCCTCTGTGAGCCTGTCGGAGAGCCCTTGTGCTGATGCATAACGGCGTTGCGTGTCTCCATACCAACGCAGACAGAGAAGTATAAATTAGGCTTAACTTCAAAGGCACTGTTGTCATGGTAACCAAGAAATCATCATTTAAACAGCATTTCTGCTACAAATGCAACATGTCTAGTTATTTATAGTTTTTAGAAATGAATACGTTCAAAATGGCCTAAAAATCTGGTTAAAGATGTGATATTTAGCCATGCTTTTGTTTAACACACCTTTACCTCCCGATGTTGAGCTGGGAGACACGCTGAACCACCAGTTTGAGGCTGTTTGTGAAACTGTGTTCGGGGAGGTGGAGTCCCAGGCTGTGGAGGCTCTGGACCTTCCCGGTGTGTTCCGCACTCGCAGCCACAGCTACATCCGTGCAATCCAGGCTGGCTGCTCGCAGGATGACGACTGCCTCTCCGTCTTCTCCATGTCGGGCCCCCAGGGCACCATCAAGAGCGGGGCCGGTGAGTAGCATGGTCCACCAGCAGGCTGCATGTGTGTCAGAACAATGTACAATGGAGGGCACACTGGGTGAGGAGGGTCGATGACAACCTGTCAGTTTGGTTTGTTACACAAAGCTATACTCCTGCCTTCTACACAGCTGCATGTCATGTGCGGTGTCTGCACCTGTTTTAGATTTCATCCTCACAGCCTTCTTTGCTTTGCCGATCCCTTTTCCTGTGATGATCTGACCTTTCACCCCAGATTTCTCCTCCTATGCATTTGTGTATGTTCGCCATCACAACACATTCTCACACCCTAAGCGTCAAAACATGACGCATGTGACCAAACGTCAAAATATGACGATCAGGGTGCCTCAGTGCGTCGGGAGAGGGCGCGCAGGGGCATGCAGGGGCACGTGTCACCGCAGGGATACGTGCCCGGCGCCCGTGGTGACAAGGACATTTCACCTCGAACCTCCAGCAATTTAACCTTCCCCTCACCCCCATCCTAACCTTAACTCAGTCATTTTCAATTAAGCTTTGCATGCGCAAGCTGGTTAAGGTTAGAATGGGGATGAGGGGAAGGTTAAGTAGGTCACAATTCGGTCAAACGTCCGTCTCACCGCGGGCGTCGGATACCGACGCTCTGGGGCACCCTGGTCGTCTTTTTCGACGCTTAGGGTGTGAGAATGTGTTGGCCATCAGCACAGGCTTATGTGTTATTGCCCATGCTTCTTCTTCACCTCTGTTTCTTCTCTTTGTGTCTCAACTCCCTCCCTTGTGTGACTGAAGGTTTCTCGGTTACAGTAATAGGTACAGCAACACTCATGGTTATGGTGATAGCTCAGCGTGCTGTCCTGCTTTTGTCTCACTCTATTTCTCTTCTTCTAACCCTCTCATCACATCTCCTGATGAGTTTATGCTAATGCAGCCATATAATCTCCAAGCCCTTCACTAGAAAATCCCTTTATGTGCTTATTTTGTTCCTACTCGGTGTGTGTTGGAAGGTGCCACTAAATTCCTAGATTTCTGCAAATGCTTGTTGAATTTTTTGAAGATTCTGCAAAGAAGCATTTACAGAAATCCCAGCAACAATGTGCTTACTGACAGTGTTGGGAGTAATGCGGTACAAATGTAATTAATTACCATGATGCATTGCTTTTTGCAGTAATGTGGTAATGTAAGGCATTACAGGGAAAGAAAATGGTAATATTTACTCGGTACAATTGTCAGTAACACGGTAACTACAATGCATTTTTGAACCCAGAATCAAGATGTGGGTTTCCTAAAAATTCAAATTGCGGGAAGCCTGAAAAAAGATCCAGTATCCACATATATGACGTCATTTATGGACTCAGCTTTGCGGGCATTCTATGAGCAGAGAGGACGCAGCGGTAATGACTCAAATACTCCAGCTGCGTCCTGCGCGCGGCCGCTGTTATATTCACAAAATCACTCCACCAAAACAAAGTAATTCGATTACGATTGTTTATATCAGCCCATATTCTCTGGTACTTCATGTACTTTTCAGCTGAGTTCATAATCTGTGCGCCGGTGATTTCTACTCATTGCTGCTGGAGCGCAGTACATATTAAGCTTTTTATTTATTTTTTTGGCGCTCGGTAGATCCCTTTGGCTGATTAGTTAGAAAGTAGGAAATCTAGTAAACAGTTGTTCTGGAAGACAGAGAAAACATGCAGCATGCAGGAAGGTTAGAGAGAGAAAGGTCAGGAAATCATTCAAATAAAATCAAGAAAACAAAACAAAGTGCTTGAAAAGAAAAAACAAGTAGGGAGATTTATCCCCAATACACATTTTTACCAGTGAAAAGCAATAATATATAAGCATTTAATATTTATACATGAGATAGAATCAGATCACCCCAGAAGTCAGTCCCACATCCAGGGCCGTATCAAGGCATTTGGGGACCAAGGCAAATATAGGCTTAGAGCCCCCACCACCTCACTCCCTGCTCAGTTAATATAAGATGGCAGCGTGCTGAGAGTACAGATTGTTGTTGCTTTTATTTAATAAACAATCATTTTAAAGCACTGTTATTATATCTGACTGTTTTTAACAGCAATCCTAGCTCAGACACCGCATCACCTTCCACATACAGGTGCTGGCCAGTAAATTAGAATATCATCAAAAGGTTGAAAATATTTCAGTAATTCCATTCAAAACGTGAAACTTGTACATTATATTCATGCAATGCACACAGACCAATGTATTTCCGATGTTTATTACGTTTAATTTTGATATTTATAGGTGACAACCAATGAAAACATCAAATCTGGTATCTCAGAAAATTAGAATATTCTAAAGGCCAATGAAAAAATGTTTGTTTCTCTAATGTTGGCCAACTGAAAAGAATGAACATGAAAAGAATGTGCATGTATAGCACTCAATACTTAGTCGGGGCTCCTTTTGCCTCAATAACTGCAGTAATGCGGCGTGGCATGGACTCGATCAGTCTGTGGCACTGCTCAGGTGTTATGAGAGCCCAGGTTGCTCTGATAGTCGTCTTCAGCTCCTCTGCATTGTTGGGTCTAGCGTATTGCATCCTCCGCTTCACAATACCCCATAGATTTTCTATGGGGTTAAGGTCAGGCGAGTTTGCTGGCCAATCAAGGACAGGGATACCATGGTCCTTGAACCAGGTGCTGGTGGTTTTGGCACTGTGTGCAGGTGCCAAGTCCTGTTGAAAGGTGAAGTCTGCATCCCCATAAAGTTGGTCAGCAGCAGGAAGCATGAAGTGCTCTAAAACTTCCTGGTAGACGGCTGCATTGACCCTGGACCTCAGGAAACAGAGTGGGCCAACACCGGCAGATGACATGGCACCCCACACCATCACTGACGGTGGAAACTTTACACTGGACCTCATGCAACGTGGATTCTGTGCTTCTCCACTCTTCCTCCAGACTCTGGGTCCTTGATTTCCAAAGGAAATGCAGAACTTGCTTTCATCAGAAAACATAACTTTGGACCACTCAGCATCAGTCCAGTCCTTTTTGTCCTTGGCCCAGGCGAGACGCTTCTTGCGCTGTTTCTTGTTCAAGAGTGGCTTGACACACGGAATGCGACACCTGAATCCCATGTCTTTCATGAGTCTCCTCGTGGTGGTTCTTGAAGCGCTGACTCCAGCTGCAGTCCACTCTTTGTGGATCTCCCCCACATTTTTGAATGGGTTTGTCGTCACAATTCTCTGCAGGGTGCGGTTATCCCTAGAGCTTGTACACTTTTTTCTACCACATTTTTTCCGTCCCTTCGCCTGTCTGTTAATGTGCTTGGACACAGAGCTCTGCGAACAGCCAGCTTCTTTAGCAATCACCTTTTGTGTCTTGCCCTCCTTGTGCAAGGTGTCAATGATTGTCTTTTGGACAGCTGTTAAGTCAGAAGTCTTCCCCATGATTGTGGTGCCTTCAAAACAAGACTGAGGGACCTTTTAAAGGCCTTTGCAGGTGTTTTGAGTAAATCAGCTGATTAGAGTGGCAGCAGGTGTCTTCTATATTCAGCCTTTTCAGAATATTCTAATTTTTTGAGATACCAAATTTGGAGTTTTCATTAGTTGTCACTTATGAATATCAAATTTAAATGTAATGAACATTGGAAATACATTGGTCTGTGTGCATTGCATGAATATAATGTACAAGTTTCACGTTTTGAATGGAATTACTGAAATATTTTCAACCTTTTGATGATATTCTAATTTACTGGCCAGCACCTGTATATGTCATGAGCTCACTGAGCGTCACATTACCAGATTCATATTGAAGTCGTATTGGTGAAAGTAACTTAAAGTAATGCAAAAGTAGTGTAATGCCTTACATTTTAAAATCAGTAATATTGTAATGTAATGAATTACTTTAAAATGAGGGTAACAAGTAATAAATAATGCATTACAGTTTTGAAGTAACTTGCCCAACACTGCTTACTGACATGATGTTTGCACACAGGAGGTCACAGCTTCAGATAGAATCCTTACTGTCCTCCAGAGATTGGGTTAAAGAGAAGATGGCTCAGTTTGTTTTCAACAGACTGTTTCATGTTCGTGTTCATTAGAGGTTTTCTTTTGTCACTGTTGAACTTTTTATATTAAAGCTTTAATAAGCAGAGTTTTAACAAAGCGAGGCCACATTAAAGTCAGGTTCATAACTCTGTGTCACGTTTTGCAACAGCCTGATTCATTAAATGTTCTTGATGTTCCCTCTCCACCTTCCTGTGCTGGTTCTCCTTTCGTTGCTCTTTTACTCCCTGTTACGTTCTTCTTTCAGCCTGTTCTTTTTGTAAGTACCCCCCTTCCTGTGGGCATAATTTACTTTTAACTGTCTTATGCAACTCTGTCTTTTTTCTCTCTCTTCCTTCGCTTCAGTCTTTCCTTATCGTAAAGGTGCTCCTCCCCCACTCCCACCTCGCATGTCAAAGTCTTCTCTCTCGGTGCGAGCCCAGAGCAGTACTGAGTCCACCCAGGATGCCTACTTCCAAGGCAGTGGACAGATGGCTCCGGGCTCAGGCCCCGGGCGTCCCAAGCAGCACAGTAACTCAGTGGACTTGGGCAGCGCAGATGGGCTCTCAGGTCGGACCTCCAGTAGAGGCTACTACACGGCCAGTGGACCTGGTCATTCCCGCCAGCACAGCAACTCTGCAGAGAGCCTGGATGGAGTCAGGGGCTCAAGGGAGGTGGTGCCCTATTATGGGGGCCCAGGGATGGGTGTGAGGGCCAAACACAGCTGCTCAGCTGACAGCCTGCTGGACGGTCTGCCAAGACCAGTGAGGGAAAGGGACAGTAGGGTGGGGGGCAGTCTGGGGAAGTCATCCTCTCTTCCTCAGAACAGCATAGTACTAAATAAAGTGGGGGGGCAGGATGACGGACGTGGCGGCAGGAAGTGGACACCTTCCATCGCTGTGCAGGTGAGATTTATTTCATAAACATCAATCTGTCTCTCTGTGATTTATTAGAATAGTCTAGTTAGGACCTTCATGGAACACCAGCTATATGGCCATGTCGATGGACTACACAGAACACAAAGAACTATGATAATACTATTCTGCTCTCATATTTTACTAGGCAGTTAACCGTCATCTCATGTGGAAAACACACACAAAAGGTTCGGTAAAATGTATGTGAATGTAATTGTTCTGTGTTGTTTACAACCCAGTAGATGGTACTTGTACATTTTTAGTTGTCTTCTACATCTGAAAATAGAGAAAGTTTAAAACAGATTTATAAGTGCTGGTCAATAAATTAGAATATCATGACAATCAAAAAGTGAAACTTGTATGTTAAATTCATTCGTTACACACAGATCGGTGCATTTCAAATGAGTATTTCTTTTAAATTTGATGATTTTAACTGACTAATGAAAATCACAAATTCAGTATCTCCGATTATTAGAATATTAAGGCCAATGCAAAAAAGGAATTTCAGAAATGTTTGTTAACTGAAAAGTATGAGCGTGTGCAGCACTCAGTGTTTAGTTTGGGCTCCTTCGGCCTGGATTACTGCAGCGATGCAGCGCGGCGTGGAGTCCATCAGTCTGTGGCGCTGCTCAGGTTTTCTGAGAGCCCATGTTGCTCTGATGGTGTTCCTCTTCTGAACTGCTGGGTCTGGCGAATTGCACCTTCTTCTTCACAATACCCCGCAGATATCACTCATCCACTTTTGCACCAAAAACCATTGCATTGTATGTAAAGACAGCGGTTCTTTCATCTTTTCTTAGTTCGCAGACATAGCAAAACACCAGTGTGGCAAATCCTCTTGATTCTAGTTTCTTTTCTTATCTTCAGTCTGACTTTGTGTTGCTGCTTTTCTGTCCCAGGTGGACAGCTCAGAGTCTCTGTCAGACTCGGACATGGAGGGAAAGGCCCTTACAGAGGTGCACTCTGTAGGAATCCAGGTGGAAGATGAGAAAAGGTACAAAAACGAAGAGCATCGCGATTCTGACCTGTAGAAAAGTAATCATCCACACAACTTCATGCCAACTTGAATTGTTTTGCTTGGCATTTAGAGTTTCTGTCATCAAAGGCACAAGCTGCAAACTCAGAGAAGTGTTTGTTTATTTGCTATTTTCTCTTTCCTCCAAAATATGTATCTTCATCAAGAACTTTTGGCCTTTGCGCAGTAATTTATGTGAATAATTAGAATTTATATTCTTCGTTCCTGTGCGCCCAACAGTGCAGCCGCGCACGGCTGATTTGTCTTCTTGATTTTATTAATTTATTTAACATTTCATCAAGCATCACAGCTTGAACTCAGAGGGGGGAAAAAAGCATCATTCCTCTCTGTTAGTGAGTGTAACCATGACGACAGCAAACCATACACCCAACATGACTCAGCGCTTCCCCTAATTATAGCCAGAATTTTTGTAGGTCAGATTTTACATGCATGCATGTGAATAGTCCCAGACAATGATAAGTGTCTGAGTACACCCTTCCTCGCCCGGGGGTGGGGGTGGGGGGGGGGGGGGGGGGTGGGGGGGGGGGGGGGGTAAGTCTGGGCCACACCAATAAGGGGATGGTGGGGTACAAACTTGCACCAGTTCAAACACTCATCAGTGAGCACGCTGACATGACATTTCCACAAACTGAAGATTTACCACAACTAGGCAAGGTGTGACATCACAGTCCTAATTATACTGGGAGGCCTTTATGAGGCGAAAAATTAAATATCAGCCTGCGTGTGACTGGGTGGATCTGAACCTGGCGTGCCTCTGTGCGTCTGCAGGCGTGCTCGTTTCAAGCGCTCCAACAGCGTGACGGCGAGTGTACAGGCCGACCTGGATCCTGAGGGCTTCCCGGGGCGCAGCATCTCTGTGCCAATGCAAGATAAAAGTCTCCAGTTCGGCTGCTCCTTCCAACGGCACTCCTCTGAGCCCGAGTCTGCGAGCCAGTACACAGAGTGCCATCGAACAGTCCACACTCAGGGCCAGTGGGCCTACAGAGAGGTGGGTTTTCACCTTAGAGCTGGGTCTGGATCATTAGGAAGTACAACACATGCCATGCATCTTACGTGCAACTTTACACTCATTTTTTGCTAAAAGTGAAGTACATCAGAAAGATGTTATGAACGTGATGCGACATTAAACCAGCTAGAAAACATCTGGAGATGTCCTCTGAGTGAGCAAGGCTGAAGAAACGCTGCAAAGATCTAAACAAAGTCTGCAACTCACATCCAACGAGTTTATTCTTTGTTTTCTTGCTAGGGTCTTCATTTGATTGTATTTGAAATTAATTAGAATAAAATAGGAAAAAAAAGGTATTCTGTTCAATCTGCTGCAAAAACAAATGGATCCTTATGTGATCTCAGGACCTAATCCAGGGTGGCTACACCACAGAGACCTGCCCAGTGGACTCAAAGCCCCACCAGCCCCCCCACTTGCCTCCTCGTGCCCATTCTCCTTTACCCGTTACCTCCGAGCGAGCTTGGATGGCCACACCATCCATAGAGGGCCCTAGGAGCCTACCTGACTCTGGCCGGACCTCCCCCTGCATGAGGGATGGGGAGTTCTTCCTCCGCCTGCTGCAGACAGAGGTGGAGAGGATGGAGGGGTGGTGCCAGAACATGGAGAGAGAGGCAGAAGAGAATGAACTTCCTGAGGAGGGTAAGGTTCAAATGAGCATTACAGTTAAATATGTTAATCTGATCATTATTGGATGTCTATAAGTACACAGCATGTCTCCTTCCAGTGCTTCAGCTCATTCGAAATGTGGTTGGCAGTGCCCAAATTCTCATGTCCCAAAAAGTTCAGCAGTTCTTCCGTCTCTGCCAGCAAAGTGTGGTGCGTATGCACATGCAACATGACAACACACACTTCTTATCGTGCGCGGCTTCTTATTTCAAAACAGATGTGCTTGTCTGCAAACATTCAGCTGTGCAAATCGCTGAAGCCTCTTTGCCTTGCTGTCCTCTCAGGACCCCACTGCCTACCCCCTGCCAACGCCACAGGACCTGGCATCTTTCTGGGATCTGCTCCAGCTCAACATAGAGGACGTGAGGGTCAAATTTCAGGACCTCCAGAGGCTCAAGGACTCTGGTTGGAGGCTCCCACCTGAAAAGAAGGTGAGAGGCCTGCTGGTCCAAGCAGCCCTGGTTTCCCTTCAGCATTTGCCTCGGGCTAAGATGGCGGTGTGTAGACGAGTGGCTCAGACGGCGGTGCCCTCTAAGCGTTCGCTGGCCGTAGAAACACAAAACAGCAAGAGGAGCTGAACTCAACAACGCCACAGGACCGCAGGGTTTTAAGTGACAACATTTAGTTTCATTTGAGTTATTATTTATTCTTGTTTCATTTACTTATTTCTTGAGTTCTGGAAAGACGACGACAACCTGCTAGCTTTTTTTTTGCAGAGTTTACTTTAGCTACTGATTGCCTGGATAAATCCCAATGGCACGCTAACTATTGTTTCTCTTTTCTTTCTTTTTCACTTTACCTCTGTTCCACCCATTTCATTTCCTATTGTCACCCAAATCCACACACACACACACACACACACACACACACACACACGCACACACACACACACACACACACACACACACACACTTTTGTTGTCTGTTCAATTATTTTGTGACTCCTCTGTTGCTTGCTATGTTTGTCTCTGCCTAAATTGATCATTTCCTTTTATTTTGCTTGGGGAATTTTTTAAACCACTTTCAAAATCCATCTCTTTCACCACCCGACATGATAACTCCACCGTCCATCTGCATCCTATGTCTCTGTCCCACTGCCGACGGGCTAGGAGGATAAGAAGCTTCCTCCTCCCTTACCAAAGAAGCCCATGGGTGGGGTGAGCGGCAGCCTCCGAGCTGATAGTGCGGGAGACGGGGTGGTTGGAAGTGGAGGAAGCGGGCCGGGAGGCCTGGTGGTGCCACGCATCGGAGGCCACACCCTTCCAATCAGAGAAAAATCTCTTGAACTCGGAGACCGCCAAAGGACAGAGGCTAGGAGGAGGCTACTGCAGAAGCGTACTGCGTCCTTCAGGCAGAACTCAGCCACGGAGAGCGCCGACAGCATCGAGATCTACATCCCCGAGGCTCAGACTCGTCTCTGAACACCAGACTGATGTGTCACCCTCTCCTGTGACCTCTGGATCTCCTGCGAGTTATTTCTGTTTTCAAGCTACACCCCCCAACACCACCATTTTGCATCACACTTACTACACAAGCAATGACAGCCATTTTAGTGTCTTGAAATTCAAACGCTTTACCAACATGGCCTAGACCTTCAACAGTCCCTAGAGGAAGAGATTTTTACTTCTTGATCTCTGAATTTCTTTTTTATAACCCTTTTGGCTGACGTGGTGACAAACAGTCCACTTTTGTAACAGTAGTCAGCGGAGGTTCACGTCGTAGCATGCCTGAGCGTGTTCACTTAGCACATAAAGGGCTTAACAGGCACAAGACCTCAAACGGACCCTCCCGGGGTGGATCCCTAATGCCATTTAAACCAACACTGACTCGGTTTGTAGGCTTTCTGGTTCACCACGTATCCGTAACCTTCACTGATGCTCTATTCCCTCACAGTGAGGGAGATCAACTCCTGAGGATCGGAAGCCCACCGAGCGCTTGTACCTTACACTCAGGTGCCATCTAGCAACACGGGCACTGGAGCACAAAGCTGGTTGTGTCTCATTCGTTTTGTCCTATCGGCTGCTCTCTGCTTCCAGCAGCGAGGCTCTTCCAATGTTCTGCTGTTGTGAAGAGCGCACACAAGCACCGTGTAGCATCACAGCTTAGTGCGTCACATGAAAAATGGATGAAAGTAGAGCTCCTTATGTCGTCTCCATGAAGCTCCCAAAGTACACAGGAGAGGTTTGTGGGAGTTTTTAGGTGGGGTGGAACTTATTCTGGTGGCTTTCTAGACTTACTTGACTTTTCACTGTGAGAGTAAAGCACCACCAAGTGGTGCAATGAGGATGCGTCGTGACAACAGCCATGACAGAAGATGGGTTTCTTTACTTTTTTATTTGAATTACAGAGCTTTATGTTCTTTTGGACTCTGCTTGAATGGATGTTTACACTGCACTGATGAACGAAGGACGGATTTTGTTGGTCAAATGGTTAGCATCTCTCCAACATCCTCCCAGTCAGCAAGGATCCCAACAAAAGGGTTGTTTCAACAAAAACTTCATATATTTGATCGTTTTGTAGAAAATAAGTAACATTTAAGATGAGTTCAGCTATTTTTGTTTGTTGTGATACATTTTCCTTCCTCTTAATTTACATCCTGACACTATTTGGAGTGTTTTTACAGTTTGGAGTTTCAAACGAGTTTCTGAATGAGTCTTGTTTGCAAGGTTAACGTCAAAGGAGGAGGTTTTATTATGGTAATTCATATGGCTTTTGACTTGTGTGTGAATGAATATGAAGCTCAGTTAATCCTCCAAGAGTCCAAATCTTCTTTTTGCAGGAGAGAAAAAGAACAAAACATGAGAGCTTTTAAGCATGACTTTGTTTCTTTTGGTTTGTTTTTGAGTGGAAGATGTTTGCAAAAACGTGATATTTTATTGGGAGATGTATATTTTATAATATAATCTACATTTCTAGATGAGTAGAGATTATTCAGTACAGTATATGTACAAAAATCATATATCAAATGTGAAATACTGTTCTATTATTATGATAGATTATAGCATTGTGTTATCCCACAGCTACGTGGCATATCCAGACCCAGTACATGTGAAAATGGATTTCAACTGCTGTCATCTTGAATTTGTGAGTCAGGTTCACAGGGTATAACTAGCACAGTTAGCCGTGTATGATCCTTTTTGGCCTCCTAAATATCCGTCTGTGGTTCTCACAACCTGTACTGCTGTAGCCCACCACCCACCCAACCCCATTATCCCTCTTTAGAAGCAACTACATGTGCCTAACCAGCTATATGTGGAGGTTTCCTTTGAACACGGTTTACACTTTAGATATAATATAAGGATATGTAAATAGGAAGGTATGAAATCTTGCTGAGAATATGGTTAAAGACAAAGTTTATATTGTACTTAATCTCCCTCACATTCACTTGCAATACACACCCAAGACTGGCACGTTCTCTCCGTGTTATTGCTGCATGTTTTCTGACGGCAGCCTCTGGAAAATTTAGCTAAGTCTCATTTTTGATCGAAACAAGCAAAGGAGATTTTGTAGCCTTCAATTATTTTTGTGATCGAAAAAAGAAAAACAAATTACCAGAATTTTACAACAGTTATTATGAAGAGTCACTTGTTTGTACAATTATATCCTTTTTGGAGACGATGCTACTGGCATCCTTGGAAATTACGATTGATGTTTTTTGCTTTTGAACTTCTAGGGATGATTTTAACAACCTTCTTGTAAAACAAGCTGCCCCGGCAGTGAGACATGAAGGGCATCATGTTTAATTCATCTGCATCAGCGCGAGCTGCAGAGCTGCCTTTTCCCCATTACCCCTGTGTCTCCTCTACCGCCAAGCTTGACAACATCTACGCGGTGTTCATCGCGGCCCTCATCAAACGAAGCACAAAGAAACTGCTTTACTACTGTGTCGCCACTGTGAAGGACTCTTGACTCCACCCTTACGATCCTCAGTCCTGCATACGACGGCAAGGTCTTTCAACAACAAGCTTCCCTTGAGCGCCTCCAGGAATCAACGGCTTTTGTTGGATTTCTAACCACAGAAGAAGCTTCTTCATATCTGGTGACTTTTTCCTGTAATCCTTACAAGTTGAGGTGTGAGCCAGCAGCCTTGCCTTGAAACAGGTCCACTGCAATTACTGTTTTGTTATGGTTGTGATTTATTTTTCTCCAGTATTGTGTATAAGTTGTTACATATCTGAACAGTTTGAACTTCAGTTCCTGAGCACCCATGAAACTTAGCAGACAGACCACCATCTGCCATTTCTGCTCATTCTAGAAGTGCAAAAACCCTGTGTAAAAAGACAAATCAACTCTTAAGTACCTCAGTTTCCAGCAGCAATAGGCATGTTTCCACTTCCGGAACTTCGTGGTAAATTTACAGGAACTTCCTGGCATCTCACTGGGCCGGCAGAATGGCCATTGTCCGGGCCAGTTTCAGGAAGTTTCGGAGTAAAAGGGGTAGGGACTTGGAATGGCCCGGTGGAGTAGCTGAGTGGAACGTTTGGTTAACTCTCGCCGATTGGTTGTAACCCAGTAGGAAATGACATCAACAGAACAACCGGCATTGGAAGTTTCTTGTGAAACTGAATGGAATAAAAATAAGCACAGCTAGTGCAGTTTTAAAATCGCCATTACTAAACTTCCAACACCGAAAAACCCTGCAGAATTCCACCACAACTACATCATTCATGGGGCTTGTTGTCAAAGAGCACCATGAAAAACAGAGCTTCTTCTGGTCATTGAACGCCACATTTTAAATAATCCGAATGGATTAAACTTTAATGGATTAAACGTTAATGCTATTGTGGACACTTTTCGGCACTGATGACATCACTCACTGCCGAAGCCGTCTGCTGACATCTTAGTAAAGTCCTGAAAGGGATGGAGACAACAGCTGAGAGGACCGGTACATCTTATCTCCTAGTCAGTTTACCCGTTCTAGATTTCACACTGAAGTTCCTATGATGAAACCACACCTATGTTTCCTGTCCCATCCCAGGCCTCTGTCCTCAGGGGATTCTCTAGCACCACTACAAAACCCTGAAAACACAGGGCTGGATTCGGCCCATGACGGAAGGGAAACCGACCACTCGCCTCTTGAGCCCAGATTCTCTTTTAGCCATTTTATTCCAAGACTATAGAGCGCAGCGTAAGGCAGCAGCGGAGGCAGAAGCCTAATCGTAGCCAATTTACATGCATGCTGTGTACTGTGCTTCTGCGGCAAAGCAGAGCTGGAAAGATGTAGTAGCAGCAGATTAGAGTTTTGATTTGACATCCCCGTAAGGCAGAGCTGCTCTGGAGTACAAAGGTTGTGGGCAACGTCACATCAGAAGATATGAAGGCCACTCGTTATGTTAAAATTACATTCATTCAATAAAAGAAATGATCAGTAACCTTTAGCTTTTGAATGCTAGCAACAACTGTACATCACACATCACAGTGATCACTGTGAAGACAAATTTCATAATGGTGGTTCATGCAAGACGTAACTGCCCAGCTTGACATAATATACAAGTTTACAGAAAGCCTGTCAGCTAACAACGTTTAGCTGTTGTAGATGTAAACTGTAAATTGCTGCAGAATAATAGCAACAAAGGTGTTATCATACTCTTGATGGTGTTAATCCAGACCAACAATGTTGTTGGTCTAGGGCCAAAATCAACATAGTGACTACAGTTGTGGAGGAGCTAAGCAAGTAACGCTCGACACATATAGGTCTTTTCCAACTCAGCGTGACTTGGGAATGTGCGGTTTGGTCTGGCCAGCTTTTCCAAAAGCACGGTTCAGTACTCCCCCTACTTTTGCAGTCTCTGCTTTACTGCGGTTCCAGGTGCTCTGACCATGGCCGCCATTGCAACTAGTGGCTGGTGATTGGCTAGGGGGTGGAGTCATGGCTTGTTCCAGAGTTATCCGCCTTGCTGCTTGCAACCATTTCCTGTTTCAGAGTCTGACAAACATCCATAAAACTGAGTAGATAGTTCACTACCATTTATCGTGCTGAGTTGTGTTTCTGTGTAGCATGCAGATCACCTCACACTGTTTACTGACCACCCCTGTGTGCTATGAGGGGCACACCCACCTTTTTTCGTGGAGTTGGTGAGGAACACTACTCTGAGGTGAGCCGAGTTAACTCACGCTGTACTGAGCTGTTTTAGGTTGAGTAATGCTGTTGGAAAAATGGCTATAGAGATCTTGGAGTTGAGGCCCACATGGGTTCTACTTTTCTTAAAGGTGTGGGAATCTTGTTTAACCAACACATTTGCATTGATCTGTGGTAGGAATGAATATCTTGAAAGCCGTGATTGGGGCAAAGAAAGCCTAGAAAAGCCTGCATAAGCACGGACAAATTCATCATATCAGAGGAGGGCTTACTGTGGTAGAATTTGGACTCTTATTTCTTGATATTTAGACATCTTGTTTTGGATTGGACAGCAGAAACACCACTCTACCACTGACCGTTTGATCTATAATGTTGATGTTTTGTCTCTAGAAATAACACAAGCCTGTGGGAACTTCTGCTGTGTGGTTGAGTTGCTAATGCTAATGGTTAGCATCTGCTAGCCAAGACGTCCTGTGCTGATTCTAGATGCTAAAACAACAACAACAGCCTTCCCTGTTGCGATCCAGTAAGGGTGTGTCAAAGCGACCACTTGACGTAGATCGGTCAGGCTTCTCTAATCCTAGAGTTTCCCTGTCTATTTTCTATCAGAAGCTAATGCAGGAGGTAGGTGTGGGAGACTGTTTTCATGTTCAGCCTGCATGAAACTCGCAGAGTGATTGATTATCAGAAATAATCATTAAAAAATGCTTTTTTCAGTGAACCATGCCTTTAAAAGCAAGTCACCTCTAAATTAATACTTTTTATTGAATGAGTGTCAAATAGTGCAATAGGCATAGTCATTATTTTGTAACTCTATCTGCTCTTGACTCAAAGCAAACCTCAAGTCCAAATAGTTCAAACGTTTATGCCAAAGCCTTTACAAACGATCCATCGCCATACTTTGTTGCATCATCCTGCCCACCAAACCAATATAGCGCTGTGATTGGCATAACACAATGCTGCTCAAGCCAATGAGCTGTTGAGGCTACGATGGAGCGTGGCTCCACAACATGCAACGCAAAATCATTTTGCTTCGGCAACTATCTTTCTAGATTTCTAGGCTATCATTTTAGTGCATCTCATTTAAAATTTTAAAATTCAGCCTAGAACTGTCAATATTGTGCCCTCTTCAGGTTAAAACTCTGCACTACATTTAATTTTACTCAGCCGTTGCTATTGGCTAAGAGGTACACAGTGATGCTACTGCACCGAGTTAAATTGCTGCACTGCAGCAGCAGCTGAGTCTGGTCATGCCTTCAGCTGGTTTGGCCAATCACAAGCCGATAAGGCTTAGAGCTGCTGGCCTCTTTCACATCCTCCTTATGTTTCTCTGTTTTTGAGTGTGACTGCGGCGTGTGTGTGCTTGAGCGAGCGAGCGTGTACATGCTCGTTAAAAGCTTGTTTCTCTGATGGAGAAACTCCGAGGTCACGGGGTTGGGGTGGGAGAAAGCTGTCAGTCATTGCCTCAGCGCCACTTTCATTCCGCCAGGCAACGCATCCTCTTGGCGCAGGTCAAACAGGAAGTGTGGATGGAGTAAGACTCTGGGACTTTCCAGGTTAAAAAGAAGGGGAAAAAATGACTCATTAGTTTAGGTCATCTCGTCATCTATCCCTCTTAAAGCTTTAGTTTAAATGAGGGAAAATGTCCTTAAATGTATTTGTTTCCAGCTCCAGAGCAGCTCAGACCAGAGCAGATGTTCAACCGAAACTCCAATGTGCCTTTAGCACTGAGGTGTAACTCTGTGTGCGTTTATGTTGATGTTTGTGTTGGTGTTCAGTAATGTGGCTTTCCAGGACACACACAGATAAAAATGAGGGTTAGAGACAACATAGCAATTACTGTGTAATTACCAAAAAAAAAAAAACAAAAAGAAAAAAACAAGTATCTATATACCCTGCCACTGTCGTGTTTACAGAAGTGTAAATACCTGTTACAAATGTACATTGCTCTTCTCAATTACATCTATTGTTATAACAATATTATTAGTACAATTATTATCATTACAAATGTTAATTATTGCCATATTGTTCATTCTTGAAATGGTGTTACGTGTAGCTTTGGATGAACCCTGTTACCTAGGCTGTTCTAGGGCACGTCACGCGTGCGGTAACTATCTGTGTTCAGTAAACTGCTGCTACTTAGGAGAAGGAGTAGAAGAAAAGCAAGTTGACACAAACTCTGGGAAGTAAGCTTTGAGAATAGAAGATCCAAACATTAGACCCTGTCTCTTTTTACTGTGCTGTTGCTCCACTCTGAACTCACCTGCCTGGGGGAGGAAACCGAGACGAGCATCGAGCTAATAGACTATTCACTTTTGGTGTTCTTACTCTAAAGATGTAGCAAAAGGACCGAAGAAGCCTATGTTGTGTACACCTCCTCTCCTTTCATCTCTTGTATTTGGAGAGAGTCCTATAATCACATGCTTTTCTGTCTCTGACATCAGCCTGACGCATGAGTTCACTTGTTTCACACACCTTTAACTCAGTGCCAAGACAGCATATTGTACATACAACCATGCTTTTGTTTTGTCGCCGATTAAAAATAGCCAACTCAGGCATAGTAGCCGAGTGGCCACAGAAAATAGATGTTCATAACGTCACGGAGGGACAGCCCGGAGGAGATGCATGAGAAAACTACATGTGCTGTCTGAACGGTTCTGTTTCTCATTTTGTACATATTTAGTTACTTATTTATTGAGCTCATATGCTTTATGGGTTAGATGTGTCAAAAGAAGCCTGTTTGATGGCGCTGAGGCTCAGAGAGATGGCACACTGTGACGTGGTTTATCCCAACACAGAATGTAACACTTTCAACATTGTCTGGACATTTTCTAATGACTAATACTATTACTATAATTAATATTATAAAGCTATTTTAGCGAGTTAAACAAGATGGTGCTGCGTTTCTTTTGTCTTTTTTGTGTGTTGATTCTTTGACTCTGAATGTTTTGAGCAAATTTAAATTGAGTCCACTGAACAGTTGTTAAACTCAGTAATTATTTTCTCTTCCAAATATTCCGGATTAAATTAATACAAACAAATGTCAGAGAACATTTAAATATTTGATGGACAAGCAATAAATGAAAAAGCTCACCAATTGCTAAACCCTGAAAGGACCAAGAGAATGCATGTAGTGTATGTTATCGCATTCAACCTGGTCCACTTCCAACAGGATCGGACCGGAAGAATCAACCAATTAGTTCAAATATAATCACAAAATTTCAAGAAACTGTTTTATTTACTGGATGGAGTTTTTTAGTTTATTGTTAGGAACCCCATTAGCTGCTGTATTCTTCCTGGGGACCTCTTTATACAATTACATAACATTTTACATTAAAGAAGAAAAATACATAAGAAAATAACACTGAAACAAAGTACACGTTGAAAACCAAAACCAGAATATACTTATCCTCAGCATAATCTCATGAATAACATCACAACATTAACAATGAACCTTCCCATCATATAGATTCACTCATCCTAAGGCCACACACTTATATTTCATCTTCTGTAACAATATTGTTAACAATTTAAAATATTTAATGAATTCCTCCTCCAACATTACTGCATTAATATTCTTTTAATCTGATTTTAAATGTATTTTTACTTTGATTTGCTTTGGTAGACTACTCCACTCATGCCTTCCTCTATATGTACATTGCTGTAGGTTTTAAAGCAGTGGCTCTCACTCTTGGCAATGTGAATTTACCTCCTTCAGCACATCTGGTGTCATACACATGCTTGTCCCTACTAAATTTAAGGGATGTATATAAAATGGACGGCGTCATTGTCTCCCTGAGCTTTCAAATAAAAAAAAGCAGTGAATATAACAGTCTCACAAGTAGCCATTTCAGCCCAGTGTGCATTTCTCTTACATTTGCCCTGTAATCCCTCTTTAATATGCAGCTGTTTTGGATTTTCTGTAGTTTTTCAATCATATCTGCATTTGCATTTGACCAAACTATAGGACAATAATCCAAATTTGATAACAATGTTGTTTGCGTGCAGATTGACTGATTGTTTCAGTGCAGATTGATTCAAAAATGGTGCACATCTTTTGATGGAACCTATGACACAACCCATTTTTATTGCAATCTTATTCATATGCTGTTTCCAAGCCAACTGATTGTCTATGGTATACCCAGAAGTTTAGTTTACTGTTCTTGTTTAATGGACTCATTTCCTACAGTTAATTTTATCACAGGGTTACTTCTAAGAGTGTTTAGAAGCAATTACAATGCAACTGGTCTTAGCAACATTCAATACAAGTTGATTTTGCAACACCTAGCGGAGTGAGCCAGTTTTAATACAGAACAAATCAAACAAATCTGGTCCAGATTTAAGCCATTTGTTTGTAGAAATTAATTTCCATTATGATCATTTTTACTGCTTCGAGGAGATTCTGGTCCGCCATCGCTTGGGGGGTTTAATCAAACGGTCACTACCGCTGTGCTTTGCAGCCACTTGTGGTGAGAAGGGTGTGGTGGTGTGGGGTCGACTTCAATGAGACTGTTTGCCAGCAGGTAAAAAAACAGCAGCAGGGGAAAAGGCATGAGTGGTAGGGTTAGAAACAGGAAGACATCCATGGTGGGGTAGCTGGCTCCAGAGCATCAGGGAGCACGTGAGCTAGTGTAAGGCGATCCACTGAGACCCGTTCCTGACTGCCTCCCAACTCAGACAAAAACTCTTTAGGCCCCACCTCCAGAGCACGGAATGGGCCATCATAAAGAAATTGAAATGGAGAATGGTGTGCGTTAGGGGTGCAACGGTACAGGTAGCCCACGGTACGGTCCGTACCTCGGTACTTAGGCCACGGTCCATGGGACGGTTCGGTACATGTTTGTGCAGAAGGAGACAGCGTTTATTCCAAAACATGCATTTTATTTTTCTTCAGAGCGAAAACAGAATGTCACAATTGTAAGAACATCAGTATATGAAATAAGTTAACATTCTCTGCATTGAACACTAACACCCTCTTTCAATTATCACTTGTATGCAATACAAAATATATATAAAAAAATTACAAAATGTAAACAAAGACACTTGAAAATATTCAAATGGTTCCCAACCATGATACGTGATACATGAGGTAAGCAATGCAAAAGTAAAAGTACATTTTGCGTTTTAACAAACAGGAGTTAGCTTGTGCTGTAACATCACAGTATGGAATAAATGAACCCTCTTTAGGCTGTACTGAACACGAAATAATACAACCTCTTCTTCAAGTATCAGTAGTGAATTGAAATTTTAAAATATAAGCAATGTAAAACAAACACACTAAATAAACAATTCTCCTCCTCGACAACAATGTGAATGAAAAAGTCTGGTTTACCTTTAACAAAAATAAATTAGCTTGTGTTTAGAACAAAAAAAAACAGAGCTAAATAATTTAGTAAATAATCCTGCATTCAGCATAAAAAGTGCAATATGTACTCGTCCACTATTGAGAGATTTTTGTGCAAGAAGATGAGTCTATCAACACTGTCTGGTGCAAGGCGAGACCGATTTGCACTAACAACGTCCCCAGCAGTGGAGAAAATTCTCTCACTAGGAACTGAAGTCCCTGGGACACAGAGGAGCCGTTTTGCCACTTTTGCTACATGAGGGAACTTATGCTCATTGGTCTTCCACCACCTGAAAGGATCGGCATCAACGCCAATGGATTCTGCCAACCTGTATGAAGCAACTTCATCCTCGACTACCTGGGCAAGAGTTTTGACCTGATCTTGTTTTTTAAAAACCTCCCCAAATAGCTCTGCCATTGCCGTCTTCTTTGGAGGGGGAGAGGCTGACTCTTGTCCCTCTGTGGGTGGCATCGCCTCCGGCTCCAGTTGTCTCTGGAAAAACAATGACAATTTTTTAATATATAGAATAACAGCTGTTAATGTTTGTATTTTGCTCCTGTGAACTCAGTGTAATTGCCACAACAGAGAAAAGCTAAATTGCTGTTTGATCATAGACAGATCTGTACAAGTATGAAATGTTAAAACCTCTATAGAAATTTTTAACAAAAATTAAATATAAATTCAGCCATGGATTCACAGGAAATATGATCAACATACCTGTGGTTCATTCTCCAGAATTTCTATGGCAAGATCTCTGTAGAGTCTGTCAAGGGAGGCTTCATCATGTGATGGCAGGGATTTAAACCTGGGATCCAGGGCTGTGGCTTTTTGGAGGTACTTCTGAAGGTAAGAGTCGGTGTAACTTTTATCCAGGTCCTGTGCGATGGCTTCTTTTGCCTCTTTGATACCTGCACTGTCTTCACCTCCAGGAGCCATGCACTTGAGAATCATTTCTTTCAGTGGGAGGATCATTTAAATTGTAGGGGTTGTTTCACTGCTCATGAGTGTTGTCAAAGTTTTTAGAGGTTTGAGAACTTCAATTAGTTGTTCTGCCATTTTTTGCTCAGTGTCAGTCAACATTGCAATGTCCTTGACGTGGCTCTTCAGATTCTTGTCCATTGTTAATGCAGAGTAGATGGCAGGTTGCTGTTCAACATATCATGACAACATGTCATGTGATGTGTTCCACCGGGTTATCGCATCATGAATTAACTTGTGCTTTGGTAAGTTTAGCATTTGCTGTTTCACAGCAAGTGCTTGGTTGGCTGTGGTGCTGCGGTGAAAAAAGGTGACAACTTTCCTCACTTTCCCAAGGAGGCGTGACACACCGTTGATTGACACAGCCCTCTTTGCAGCGAGATTCACAGTGTGAGCAAAACAGCTAATCTGGGGTCCCAGCTCAACAGTTTCATTAACTGCATTAACAATGTTTGGAGCATTATCCGTGGCGACGGGTATAGTTTTGTTTGGCCGCTCCAGCTTCCACTCGGTGACTGCATTTTTTATCTCTTCTGCTAAATGCGCACTTGTGTGGCTTTCATAGAGGGGGCGAGTCTGCAGCACGGCGCTTTTCATCTCCCAGTCCAGCATGTAGTGAGCCGTCACAGCCATGTAGCTCTGTGTTGCCTGAGAAGTCCAACTATCAGTTGTTAGTGCGAGGCTTTCTGCCTTAGCCAAATCACTCTCGATGGCGTTGCGCGTTTTGTCGTAAAGACCAGGGATGACGACCTGACTAAAATGTGTGCGACTGGGCACAGAATAACGTTGGTCGAGCGTCTTCATTAAATGTTGAAAACCAACATCCTCGACTACAGAAAAAGGCTGCAGATCTTTCGCGATAAACACTCCCAATGCATCAGTAATTTTTTTATGTTTCTCTGAAAAAGCCCGGTAGGTCTGGTCAAAAGCATTCTTGATAGACAGTTGTTTTGCTGCTGGTGCCTGTGCGGCGGGTTGCTCGACTGACCTGTGTTCAGGAAGCTTTATGTCTGGATGCCTTTGCTGGATATGTTTTAACATGTTGCTCGTGTTTCCACTGGAGTATGAAACATGTGCCAAACATTGTTTACAGACTGTGTAACTTTTGTTGATTGTTTTTACTCCTTCATCGTTGTACTCAACCCCAAATTCGAAATAATTCCAAACCGATGATTTAAAAGAGCCTGGTGCCTCTTCAAACTCTTTCCTTTCAACTCCACTGCAGCTTGCCATTTCCTCGTGTCTCTTCGTTCGCAGCCAGCCGCCTAACTGTAGTAAGAGTTTGTGAGCTAGGACGCGGATGAACAACGGTGATTGGACATTAACTTGGGGGTGGGCCTTCATCTACCTGGACAGGCAAATGCGCATGGTGCCAAGCATGAAATAAAAGAGCAGCGCAAAATCAATGGGAGTACCGAAGTCCCGCGGGACAGGAGGGCGGATTGTCCCGTGCAGGGCGTACCGAACGGTCAGGTATTTTACTGAATACCGTTGCATCCCTAGTGTGCGTCATGGCTGCGAAAAACTTTCTTGGCTGACATGAGGTTGTTGGGCACATACGACTGCAGAA